AGAGGGCAAGAGAGAGAGAGATACAAGCAATGCACCAGTGAATACCAATGTCCTTCGGTGTCTCTTCCTATAAGGACACCAGACTGGTCACATCAGAGTTCCACCCTTATGACCTCATTGAACCTTAGTTGACCCCACAAAGGTCCTAATTCCAAATATAGTCAGACTGTTAGCATTTCAACATATCACTTTGGGGAAGATGAGCTGGGGAAGGAGACACAGTGCAGTCCCTAACAATATTCAACCAGAAAACTTAGGGACTTTCCTATTCAGACTTCTGTAGCTCCTTCCCTAAACAGCTTCTTTTTTCTCAGTAACATATTTCACACTTTTGAGTAGCTCAGCCTCTCCAAGCTCCAGTGTCTCCTTGCAATGGATACCCTTTGACAAAACTGAACTGGAGAAGGATATCTGGTTTACCCTTTGAAATAAGCACCGTGTGTTCTGTAAGTCAAGAGAATTAACTGAATGGGAAAAGTACAAACAGCAAAAAGATATTCCAAAGAGCTAAGAATGAAAGCCTCAGGTCTTCTGACTGTGACCCAGTCTTCAGTTCCATCAAACTTAACTGATTACATGTTGGAGGGCACCTCAGCAGGGGAACTAAGAAGCAGAGAATTCATGTTCCACCATTATCCACAAAGGAAAGAAGATTACTGTAGAATCCTGAAGTTTATTCTTTTTGTTTATAGCAACCTGAATTACTCATTTAGGAAAGTTACAGGATTTTCATCTACCCTATCCAGCCATAAGTAGAGTTAAGAGTATCATCCTCCATAGATTATAGTTCATCAACCATTTTCCCTCCTACCATTGTCACAATCACTCTGAACCACTTCTGTCTTCCTTCTGGTTAAGAATGAGGTCAAAATTTGACCTCTAGGAAAATATAAGGCACATGCTATATCTATAAATGCTATGAATTAGGTAGCAGTTGTTCCATAAGAATGATTAGCCTTTGGAATCAGGCAAATGTGGCTTAATCCTACTTGTTTAATGAACAACTCTGAGAAATTCTAAATTTTGTTCAGTAAAATTATGTACAAAAATCTCTATCCTTAGTGGGCATTCAGATGAGTTGATTCCTGTAAATCACTTAGCACAATGCCTGGTACACAGTCAGAACTTCAAGTTGGTAGCTATTATGATGGCTTATTACAGTCACTGGTATCTGTTACTTTTCTTAGGGAAAATAAATAATTTTTAAAAGATTACATCCACTTATCTCTAGAAGACATGAACATATTAACCAGTATATGAAGTTACAATTATAATCTATGTAATTATTAATTTTAATATCAATTTTTAAGTAATAAAATTAAAACAAAGTATAACAATATAAAAATTTTAGTGGGTTTATATTTTAGATTTCAGGGAGGGCAAATCTCCTAGCCAATTATTGCTAATTAAGAGCTACTGTATTATTGAGTCAGATGATTTTTAATAGTCCCAAAATGAAAATCCAATATTATCATATTCAACACATTCAATACATGTTGAATACGTATTATATGAATATATTAAACATAGTACATTATAGCTTTCTGAAGGAATAGTAGGTACACATTTTAAACTTAAAGTCTGAGTTTTGTTTTTGGTACTGGGAATTAAACCCAGGGCTCCCACACTGGGTTACATCCTAAACTGCTTGTCTGTCTGTTTGTATGTTTGTTTATTGATAGGCTCTTGCTGAATGTCTAAGTTGCCCAAGCTGAGCTCAAACTTGGCCTCCATCTGCTTAGGCCTCTCAGAGTGCTGGAATCACAGGTGTACAACACCATGCCTGCCCATTTCTGAAAATTTTAATCACACTGAAAAGGATTATGCTGCAAGTGAAGAGGTAGACTATAAACCAGGATATTCATTGATATACTGAGAAAGTGAAAACAGCTAGACAGGAAGTTCAAGTAAAATATGAGAAGTACTAATAATAATTAATTTAAGGTAGTGAAAGTAAATGTCATTTTTTTGCTTTTTCTTTTCCTCACTCTTCTAAATGTGCATATATTTTTTCATAGCAATAAGAAAATCGTTAAACTAACATGTCATTCAAAACTTAGCAAGCTGACTGTCAAAAGGCAATGGGACAATTTATTAGAGCATGCTGGCTCTTATAAACACTTGAGAAGTATATTTGCAGAGAATGATGACCTAGAAACAAGAGTTACTTGAATTAGGGTACAAATGACCAAAGCTTTTCAAGCTATTTACCAAAGTTTGTGATCTGAATATTGGAAATGTATCAAGAACTTTGTAAGGGTCTTCACCCCTATCAGACCATAGAAAAATATTTATTTAACACCCGGATACAGTCATTTAACAACAAAATATTTATCCAAGTGAGCAGGAAAGGGAAAAAACTCTCCACAAAACCACAGACATGCTTGATTTCCAAAGGAATTGTTTCTCACTAGTATTTTATTGTTTCTTACCTGTTTGGTGATTCTATGTAAAAAGAAATCCCCAAGGACTCTCATAGTAGAGAGCCCATCTGTTCCAATGTAGTCAATGCCTCTCTATTTGAGCATCAAATAATCGCCTTCAATTAACCACCTTGCGTTTGTAATAGTCTGAAGGGGAGAGTCCCTCTGTCTGGGAATCACATAGCTTTACTGGGTGCTTCATGCAGAGACAGACCATAGGTCTTCTAAAAAGAAGGGAGGGGCTGGGGATTTAGCTCAGCGGCAAAGCGCCTGCCTGGCAAGTGCAAGGTCGTGAGTTCGGTTCCCGGTACCAGAGAAAAACCAAAAAA